AGATGCTGTGTGTGCATACAGTCAGTGTGATTATTTGATACCAGTTCAGGCAAGGTGCACCATGCAGAAAGAAGAGCATCCCTGAGCATGTGGCACTGAGGAGCTGTGAGCTGCAGGAAGCACACTGGCTTCTGGCTGGTACTGCAGAGCTTCCTGGGGATGGGAGTGGAGAGCTGGGCATTGCAGGTACTGTCAGGTCTCCCCAGTGCAGTGACAACAGCTGTGACTCCCCAGGATGCAGGAGTTGATGGCAGGATATAAAGTTGCAGCCGTGGCCTGCCGGGCTAGTAGTGACTTCTTGGTGTCCCATTTTAAACAGCAACACAAGGAAACACAGGAGAAAAAAAATCACCTTTAAAATCTTTCAAGGCCTCACACAAGCCAGGCACAAAGTGCTTTGCCATGCTGCAAGGATACTGTTCCACCAGAGAGGTGTTCTGCACATGTTTGGACTGTCCAAAATGCTCTGTAAGGGTAGGAGTACTAGGTGTTTCTGACATGTACATGCAGTTTGTAAGAAGCAGGAGCACAGTATGAGCATCACACCTGTACAGCAGGTAGTATGTTGTGGGGCACAGAGGTCCTGTAGCCATCAGAAGAGGGAGTCAGCCTTAACCTGGGCAGGGCTGCAGTGCCACTTGATTGCAAGAGAAGTGGGGGGTGGATATGGGGTTGTCTGGTGCCCCAAAGTGGAGAGGTGTGAACTGAGTACCACATAGGTAAAATCCCATCAGCAGCCTGGGCTTTCCTCTTGAGCCCTGCTGAGTGGCCAGGGCTGCATCTTGTGCTTCGTGATGTCAACATGTTTTCCTCTTTGAAATTGTACCAGGTCCTCACAGCAGAAGAGCTGAAAGCTGCCCAGACATCAGTCGCCTTTGGATGCATTAAATATGCAGATCTCTCCCACAACAGACTAAATGATTACGTGTTCTCCTTCGACAAGATGCTGGATGACCGAGGGAATACAGCTGCCTATTTGCTGTATGCCTTCACACGGATCAGGTAGGTGAGGCTGCAGTTGGTGCTGATACTCTCTGCATCTGTATTGCAATCGAGGGTGTGTGACAGTCACATCAGTGTGGTTGGGAAGGGATGCCAGCTGCACTGGTATGCACCAGAGACAAGATTCTGTCATTGCAAATTGTGTGTCCTACGCCACCTGAAACAGGGCTCCTCTGTATGACACACATCCCAGGGAGGGAACTGTGGGAGTTTCTGGGAATCAGAGGATTTAGGTGGTTGGAAAAGGGTGTGCCTATGTTCCAGCTTTGCTCAGATATTGCCATACTCCACAGTTTTTCTGGCACCCTGAGCCGTGGTTTGCTTGGCAGCATCAGCTGTCCTTGCCAACACAAGTGCCCAGAGCCCACCCTGGCCTGTTCCTCTGCAGTGCCTCCTGATCGTACTGAGGGCGAGTCCTCCCTGCATATCGCCAGGGCTGATTGCCCTCTTTGGCCTGGTCACCCAGGACTGGGCAAGGGAGGACATCAGCCCTGAGACAGGCCAGACAGGTGACCAGGCAGGCTGGGCAGTGGGACCCGCACAAGCAGACTGTGTTTTGGACCATTCCAGGGCTATTGCTCGCCTGGCCAATATTGACGAGCAGATGCTGCGGAAGGCAGCCAGAGAGGAGGTGCTTATCCTTGACCATGAGAAGGAGTGGAAACTGGGCAAGTGCATCCTGAGGTTTCCTGAGATCCTGCAGAAGATCCTGGAGGACTTGTTACTGCACACGCTCTGTGACTACCTCTATGAACTGGCCACCACCTTCACCGAGTTCTATGACAACTGCTATTGCGTTGAGAAGGACAGGCAGAGTGGTGAGTGTTGGCCACCTGTGTCACATGCTGTGGTACAGGCACTCTGCAGGGTGTTTCCCTGTGCTGGAAAGGCTGTTGTCACACTGGTTGCTGCTGCAGAACAAGTGTCCATGTGGGAGGATTGCAAGTAGCTGGCACAGCCCATGTTGTCATCTGCCTGTGTGCAGGAAGGTTGAGTTGAGTTAGAAGCAGCCAAGCACCTGGAAACACGAGGGCTGGTCAGTCTGCTTGGCTTGGGGGACATGGGAAGGGGCTCAGTGTGCCAGTCCAGGGCCAGGCTGTGGGTGGAGGGGTTTCCTCTGGGGAAGGCACCATTAGTTGTTCTCAGCAGCTGCTCAGCTCCTGTGTTGGTGTTTTCCAGGCCAGATCATGAAGGTGAACATGTGGAGGCTGCTGCTGTGCGAAGCCACTGCTACCATCATGGCCAAAGGATTCGACATCCTGGGAATTAAGCCTGTGCAGAGGATGTAGGTGTTATCTGCGGAATGACAATAAAGGGACTAAACAACTGGAG